GGGGTATGGAAATACATATTTCATAATAACATAATGTTTTTATTTATTAATTATTTAGTGGGCTTGGATAATATAATTATTAAGGTTAAAGAATTTCAAAGTGGATAGAGTTGAGTGATAGATTTTCAAAGTAATGATAAAGATTAATATTTTAGTCGAAGTTAAATTACATATATTGGTGAATATTAAAATGGTTAGAAGATTGGTTTATGGGAAATTTGGTATAAGGATTATGATACCAAAAGAAATAAATAAATGTAAGAATTCATCTATTCTATGTTATAGTGGTGGTGGATTATATGATAAGATAAATTCAATTAAGATTGGGAGGTGGATTGAAAACTCTAATAATTTTAGGGATTGTTCATAAGTTATTTATCAAGGTCAATACAAAAATGGTAAAAAGATTGGTAGATGGGATATTTTATATAGAAATTAATAGAGTGAAGCATTTTAATAGATGTAAAATTATATAGTTAAAATAAAAACTAAATTTAGTGGCGGGGGTTCATATGATGATTAGGTTTAAGGAGATTAAATTAAAATAGGAAGTTGGATTGAAATAAGCGAAGAATTTTATAAATGGTCATAAGTCACTTATTAAGGAGAATATAAAGATGGTAAAAGAATTGGTAAATGGGAAATTTGGTTTAAAGATTGCCATACAAATTAGAAAAAACTAATGTATAGATTAATATATAATTCATGATTAGTGGTGGTGGATTCTATGATGAGAAAAGCTCAATTAAAATTGGGAAGTGGATTGAATAAAATTTAAGGTTTTATTATAATTCCTAAGTTACTTGGACTGGCTAATATAAAAATGGCTAGAAAGTTGGTAGATGGGATATTATACATGAAGAATAACAGATGTAAATATATATCCAAATCTCAAAATATAGTGGAGGTGGTTTATATAAAGAAGATGGAGATAGCGAAATCAAGATCGGAAATTGGATAGAATTAAGTAATAGCTTTAGGGATTGGTCATAAGTCACATACAATGGTGAATATAAAGAAGATAAAAAAGTTGGAAGATGGGATATTTGGTATAAAGATTGGGAGACGAAGAAAAATGAATAATTGTAATAAAAATTAACATTTTTAGAGGGGGCGGACATTATGATGAGATAAGTTCTATAAAAAATGGAGTTTGGATTGAATTGAGTGATATTTTTGATAGATATTCGTAAGTCATTTATGATGGAGAATATTAAAATGGCAAAAAAGTCGGTATGTGGATGGAATTGGAAAAAAAGAGATGGAAACTTTAAGAAGGTTTCAAAAAAATAAAAGATATTAATTATGATAATTGAAAATTTTCAAGGGTTTTAAATAATTAGATTTCATTAAAAAGTAGTTATCAATTTTTATTGTGTTTATTTTTTTTATTTATATTTCGAAAAAATACTTTCTAAGCTATTTTTCTAAAGCAAGTTGATTTTCTTGTCCATTTTAACTTAACCTATTTGTATTAGGAAAAAAAGATTATTTTCTATTTCAACAGTTGGGGATGAGCTTTGTACTTTTTAATTCTTTTGGCTAAGCAACTAAATTGAAAGAGGGATGGCCATTAAAGGGCAATCTGAATAATGAATAATCTGATAATAATATTCTTAGATTTGTAATAAGAAAACTTTGAATAAATCATATAATTAGAAAATAATTCTTCTCAATCTATAGTATTCGGACTAGAAGCTTGAATGTTACCTTGGATGTCTTGAATAGATGTGTTTTTAAACAGGTTTTTATTTTAATAAATCTACTTTAAAATGAGAAGGTTTTTAGATTAAATTACAATTTATGCAATTTTACTCTTCAATAGCGGAACTTTTCTATTTATGAATATTATTCTTTAGATTTTTTCAACTATTTACAGATTTGCAGAGAAATGGAGTATTTTAATTGTTATTATCTATTTATTTGCATTTCCTTTTGTTATCCAGAATTTATTCTTTAATTGAAGATGTTATAAATTATCAATATAAATCTATATAGTTAAAAGACCATTAATAATCAATATTTTCATTTCTCCCATTTATTTAGTTCACTCTTTTTATTTTATATCATTTTGGAACCAATTATGATGTTCTTAAGAATAATTATTTTGAAACATATCACTTTATAAATGAGAAATTATGCTATTAATCCATTGTATTGCCATGTGTATTTTTTTTTGTTGACCATCAAAAATTAGATGAACTCTTTCATATTTATGCAATTATGTGAATTCTAATATTTAAATGATATTAGATTCATTTTATTTAATATTATTTTCTAGTTGCTCCTTCAAATCGGTTTTAA